TATAACTTGCCTAATAATTCTGCACTCCCTGTACTTCAAGAACTTAATGTACATTTCTGGCCCCAAGTATGCCAATCTCCAATAACACAAAAATTACTAAAAGTATGGTTGCCAGAAATGGAGGTCAGAGAAACCCTTTAACACAAACTTCAAACCCGAGTTCCTCACTCTGGAAAAACCTGCCACTAATGTGATGTGAGTTTGTATTTGTTTATATTTTTTTTGCATTTTGTTTTAAACAACCTGCCCACCTTACTCCCTGTCCACCATTGTAACACCTAGGTGGTGAAGGAGAGAAGAAAAGGTTTTCACCTTGGCGAAGCCATCACCATACCTCCCAACATTTCAAATGGACAAAAAGGGACACTTTACTTTTAGGGGTGTGACGTGAATGTATCCAGGGAATGGAACTGTTCTGAGAAATTTTAAGTGATATACTAATAATAATTTAAGCAACTAAAATTTAATTTAGACTAAGAACAAATGTATCTTAGTTACACAGACTGATTTCTAAACATATTTACTGTATTTTACAGACACATTACTGGGAGTATTATTGCTGTGGAGCTGTATTATACACTCAAACAACAATATGGAGCTCCTAGAAAAGAGGGACAGGAATTTAAGCCTCAAAATAGGGACTGTCCCTCCTAAATAGGGACACTTGGGAGGTATACATTTCCTTTTTAGCTCCTGGCAGATGAGGCTGCCAAGAGTTGCACCATTTTGTTTCCTACAGGCAACAGAGCACAAAACAGAAGACTATGTAAGATTTCATATTGTGCAGCGAGATACAAAGGGCACCTACTGCCTTGCTAGTGGCAGGTGATTGGAAAAGGACATATAGCAATTACATATACACACTTGATTGGTTTCTCCAACTCTTTGCAGAAGGGGGGTCTTTCCTGTTTAATAAGCCAATGATGGGCACTATGGAAATGATCCTGCTTACTGCTTATCCTTAACTTACAGCATAACTTGCAAAATAAGCACTTTATTCACCTGGAATCACGTCACAGTGGCCACACTGTCCATTCACAGGGTTCTCATGGAAAAGACTGTGATTGGACCATTTACTGGCTCAGAGCGCATGCACACTCACACGGAGAAGGGTGAAGTGGGGGTGTTTTAATAAACAAACAATGTGCAACAAAGGGAGGCAGGAGGGAATGCAGAGTGGGTGGAAGGATGGGAGAGGAGCGCTTGTTTCACCTTGCACGCGTCAACAGATGATTTTTTTATTCTGGGCTGCCAATGTCACATGTGCTACAGGTGCAACGGGGGCTAGGCACACAATTACAAATAATTCAGTATGTGCAGTGTTTCAAGCAGAAAAGTTCCCACTTTGATTTTAAGTAAATGGTTCAGTCTAAACACCTTAACCACTACAGAGGGCTCATTTGGTTATGGTGCCAGGAGTTCCTTTCTGCCATCCTCCAGAAATTGTCTGTCTGCCTCAACTGACACTCTGAGACAATGAATTCAGTCCAAAAATGGCCAAAATTGAAATATATATTGCAAGCAGTAGTGGTTATCCCCAGACTGTCCCTTATAAAAAAAAATAGTTTATGCGACCGTGGCGATGTTAGGTGTCAGTGCTTCGTTAATAATATCCTGAATAAGCATTTTGTTTAAAGGGAGATTTTCAGAATTGAAAAATACTATGAGGTGTTTTAGCTTTTAAAAAAACTGGAAATGTGGAAAATTGACAAGAAATTGCACATTTTAGACCTAAATAGCCTAATTTCCCAGTGAATAAGATTTATATTATTTGATTTTTTTTTACTTTCTTCAAAATTCTAATTTAGTGGATCAACTGGCCAGGACTTGTAGCCTGACAAGAGCCAGAGGCAGGTGTATCTACTTTGTACATTTAAGTGAGGATATGAGACAACTTTTGGGTTTAAAATCACCAAATCGTGAAGTGTTAGATGAAGGACATTTCAAGAAATTTACACCAAATCCATTGTCTTATATCACCTTACAATCTTCGATTCCTGGTAACTTCCTTAGGTCACAGATTAGTGACTAAGTCTGCGAGTTAACAGTTGAGAAGGAAATAAGAGTACTATGCTTTATAGATGACTGCATGTGGCTAGCGGCAAAACATAGGACTCAAGAGTCAACTGTTTTAATTATAAAAAACAGTGAGAATAGAAATCATGTTTGGTAATTTTGTATCTACTTTTTAAAACAAACAAAAAAATGTATTGAGAGACAAACACAAAACCTGCTCCAGGATAAAATAACACCCCTCTTTGCCCGGTTTCTAAAATCTGTAGAGTTTGCAGTGATGTGCTGACGCTAGAGATTTGCGTGAGATATTTTGTATTTGAGTGCACTGCAGGGCCATCGTGGCACGGTAAAGGTTAAGAACAAATAGGTGTATATATGAACAGTGCCTATCGGGGGCTATTAATCTACTGACACCCCTCCTTTCTCCAGAACACTACCTAGGTCTCTTAAAGGGGAAACAAAGACTTCATTGTTCTCAAGTCTCACAAGGGTCCCTACGCTGTAGGAAATGAAGTCTACTTTAATGGCCTTCTAAAAGCTTTGAGAATTTTTTTATTTTTTTTAATTGAAAGGTGACCACAATCCCCCAGCTGTGATCGGACTCAGGGAGGAAGGTGGGAGAAGCCGCTCTCTTGTCCCCTTGGACTCATAAAAATTTAGTCCCATAAACCTTCATCTCAAACGTTACATTCATACACTAGCAAATGCGCATCAGGGGGACCTGCGTCTATAGGTGGAGTAGGCAGTTTTAATTTACAAGTTATAGCACAAGCCTGCAGCGCTAAGAGAACAGTGTGCAAGATCCCATAAAAATACACCATAGGTCTTACTAAATGGTTAGTAAGGAATCTTATATTTTAGAAGAAACTTTACACAACCAGTCCAGTCATTTGTTTTCAAACAAAATCTGAATTGAGCCATTATTAGGTAAATGTGCTGTAAATAGATGTACAAAGTCCATTTAATTGTACCACGAGATTGTAAACTCCTTGGTAAAGTATATTTCATTATACCACCACACAGTGCACTCGGTTATAACGTTAGATTGTAAGCTCTTTGGGCAGTGCATAGCATCACTAATTGTAAGCTCCTTATGGAAAAATCTAGCGATATATTGGTCAATGGAAACTTTAGGGTGTAGTTTTAATCATTAAAGCCGTAGAGGTTGCAGCCTGGACATGCTTATTGTACAACTTCATGATAAACTACTTGGGGGTTGCATCTAATATTTTATTACTAACGTTAAAAAAATAGACTGTAAGATCCTTGGGGGTCTCCTAATTATACTACTAGATTGGAAACTCTTTGAGAAAGGATCTCCCATGACACCACTGGATTTAGACTTTTTGGGACATGTCCACTATTATACCACTACCTCAAATTATACCTCTGGACTTTGAGCTCCTTGGAACAGTACCTCAAAAGGTCACCACTAGCCTGTGAGCCCATTGGGGCAAGATTTATTCATCCAATTGGACTGTACGCTACTGGGACAGGTGTCTCCTTATACCACTAGATTGTGAGCTCCTAGGACAAGAGGGTTTCCATGTACCACTAAACTAAGCTACTTGATACATAGTTTCATATTCTGAAAACAGGGATTGTTATACTAAAAGCCAGTAAGATTGGGGTGTATTTCTCATATCTGATGAGTAAGGGAATAACATACAGTGGGGTAAATGTTTTGTGCTATCCCTGACATTAGGTTTCAAACGTGGGTCCTGTGATTATATTTCAGATTGAAGACCGTTTAGAAAGGGCATATTAGGATCAGATGCAGTGTAAAAAAAATAAAATTAAAATAAAACATGTGAATGAAAATTGAAAAACGTTAAAGTACAGAATTAAAGTTTGTCCTTTTCAAACTAGCTCTCTCTACATGAAATAGAGGCATAACGTGAATGTATGGGTTTTGAGTTACGTTATTAAAACAGAAAAAAAAAAAAAGGTGGGGGGACCCCTTTGCTTTATTGCAAAGAATTAACTTTTCCAATTGGTGACAAGATCTGCACCCTCCATACCGTTCCACCCCTCCTCTTCCATGCATGGTAACCCCTTCAAACCCTCAGTCAAGTGATTTGCCCTCTCAGATTGTTCCAGTCATTTTATTCTGGAGCCAACTGAGAATGAATCCTTAGTGATGGGCAAGTATTATACCCAGGGCAAAAAGATGCCAATTGAACGTGAACGATAAAGAATTCCGTGAATGGTACCCAGCCTGTGAATGGGTTAAACGCAGTGGCCTGCGAATCACACTTGCTGCAAGAAGGTTGAAATAATCCCTTCTGAAAAGGCCTCATTCTCCGAGGAGGGCGTGCGAGGGGTTTGGGCCTTTCTACAAAAGGCTCCCTTTCCCTTTGCCCCAGCGCTTAGTATAATGTGTACATCTACACATATGTATATGTACCCTGCGTATGTTTATGCAGAAAGACTTGCTGAGGAAGATGGAACACAAATTTTTTTTGTAAATGCTCTGTCAACAGCAGCTTATGCCATTTATCCCCCAACTGCACTGATTAGCAAACTGTCTTATCGGAACTTCTTACATTTCCTATTGACATCCCTAAAAGGAGGGGGGGGAAGAAGACCAAAGCAATTCTGCCTTTTCTGTCTCTGCGGGTAAACTTTAAGCAGTTCCTTCACGTCTGTGGACTCTCAGCCGCTGAAATGGAAGGGTCATTTTGTCCCATGGAAGCAATTTTAAACATCACCCTTTTACTTCTGCACATATCAAAACCAAATAATTCTGTTCAGAGACATCTTCAAATTGAAAAGAATTTTATTTATTTTTCTTAAGAAGGACAATTTTATTTTTAAATTTTTTTCCAGAAGGTTAAACCAGATTTTTTTTTTATTGGGGGGTGATGGGTCAATTTATATAATCTCTACAATTTGGTGTTTGGAAGATCATGTTTGTATGAATTCCTGTTAATTTCTACGATTATGTGGGACGTTCTGAATTTTTTAACTGGTCTCGGCAGGCTGGATCTGGTGACCTGTATGTGCACACATAGGCTCGTCTAACTTGAAACTCCCCACTTCAACAGTTTCTCTCTTTTTTTTCTCTTTCTAGAGAAAAAAAAAAATCAATGCCTGGTTACCACCACAAAGAGGCCCCATGGAATACAACTCCCAATAGTTTCAGCAATTTTGTGGACTGTTCTTTGGAATATCTACAAAAAGAAAATCAGTGTGATTATTTAATTAGCAACAGGAGCTCCGTCGTCTGCTGAAAAATCAACCAGAGTGTCAGAATTTTGTTATTAATTGTGTCTGTGATTTACACAGTTCAAGTTTCTGAATTGTTCTAAAAATATAACCTACGGGAAGAAGCCACATTGTTTTAGGAGGAGTACAATATATTGATATGTTGCAAACCCCAAGACTACATCAGTTTGATGCTGTCACCACCCATCAAATCTCCCCAGTGTCGCAGACAATGGAGAAACCAGTTTGCATTGCTCACCAAATCTTTAATGTTCTATGGGAACTAAACTATGTACGATAAATTCTCTCATGCAAAAAAAGACTCAAGTATCTTCAATGTTTGAATAGCTCCTCACAAGATAATAAGCAGAACAGAGGATTTCATTCTTTAGAAAAATGTTGTGTATATGTATATGTATACACACATACATATATACATACATACACATATTGTAAATTTTTTTTTGGGGCAGTGTGTAAGGTTAATTAACTAGAACTTGGGAGGGACACAACTCAAAAATCCTAACCTCACATGCTGCCCAGGATGAAAACAAAAACAGCCCGAATCTATCAGGGTTATATACCAAGGTGAATTTCAAATTTCAGGTCAAAATAGCTAAAATTGAAAAATAAAAAAAAAATAAGATGATTTTACTTTAGCTACTCTGGCCTTAAATTTAAAATTACCTTTCAATTCTTTCCTTAGTAAATAACCCTGCATAAGTAAAAGGGCAGACATCAGGAAGAAACTTTTTTTTTTTTTTTCTGCACCGTCATGTGGCCTTCTGTTGCCACTCTTCCGAAACTCCTACAGTGAAACTTGTACTTGGCAAAGAAGATGCGAAGTGACCCAACACTGCAAAGCCTGCACATGCAAAGAGCAAGATTATGACATTCTGCGTCATGTTTCAGTGCTAAAATTGGACTGACACACGGCTGGCTCCCTGGCAGCCGATCATCAACAAGAGCCGAGAATATGGAGGTGTGTGGATGGGTGGGGTGGCCCAAACCACAACAAAGAAAGCTTCAAACCTGTCGCTTTCAATTCCAAGCCTTCCCTTTGGGGACCTAACGGCTAGCTTCTACGGTGTGACCCTTTCACCCAGTCTCCTGGTTTGCAGGCCTGGCTAGCTCTCTCGTGTTTAAGGGACAGAGCCTCGTGGTTCCAAAGGGAATTTCTTTGTCTGGAGGTCTTAAAATCTTGCTCGGTTTTCCAATATACCCTCTCCAGCCCTCATTAGATAACGCATTGTTACTCTATAAAAATTAATGGACACTTTTATCTGCTGCGAATAGATCAGGTTTTTCGCATTTTGTACATTTTCGGCGATATCTCCCATCTACAAATGTCCAGTAGTATTTTCATGTCTTGAGCATGGGCACAGTCTCCCAGCTGTGGTCAGTGCACTTTTCTAGTAACTAAATCCTAGTGTGATAGAGATAACACAAGTGCCAGATGCACTCACACTTTATATGGCAGAAAGACAAGTTGTAGCTACCAGATGTCCTGAACACAGATACGCACACTGCACCACAATCCTCTGAATCTGCATCCCGCCCTGAACATACCGCCCTTTATCCTTACTTTCTAGAATGTGTGTTGTATCAATTTTACCCTTAAACAAATGTCATATGCAAGATCTTGTATTTCAGTATCTCAGACCACCAGTCTTTACCTGGTAATAGGTTTAACCCTTCATCGCCACACTGTGTGCGAAGCAATGTGTTGATTAAGGGGATGGGCTCTTGTTTTTCTCCAGTATATAAAGGGTTAAACTGCCCCTTCGGAAGAAATGCTATCTGCAAATGTCTTTCCATGTAGGTGGGTACAGAATTACTAGGAACTAAGCCAGCTGCAGTTCTAAATTTTATCTAGAATCTAATTACTTTGTAGCATACACATCCCTCATACTATATAGGAGAAAGTTGTTATAACTTCTAATCCTAAAACAATGCTTTGAAAACTACACATACACTAACACGCTTGTTATATGGCAGAGTATCTATCAAAAAGTTTTGTTTAGGCCTATAAATCTTTCTACTTTTCTATGTTTGTGTAAACAGAAAAAAAAAATAAAAAAATAAAAAAAACCACAAAAACATAACTTTTATATATACTGAGTGTGCTGTTAGCATGGAATAGCCTTTCAGCAGAGAAGTTATGACATATCTTATTATGGGTATTCCAAATTGCCTGGTTCGGGAGGATTAAAGCAAAGTTGTCTCAGTTGAGAACTGAATCAAGAAAAGCATAGCACAAATTTGATAGTCGAGGATTTGCTGGCCTTCAAATTGAAGGATTCTAAATAGTGTGGTGTTACGGTCTCCAGACTCCCCCTATAACATCCCAGACACTGATCGTGTGAAGGTTTAAAAAGCAGCTTCTTTAAAACGTGTTTCCAGGGAGACACCATATTTAAAATATTGTAAAAATAAATTTAGCACAGGAGCTTAGTTGTGCTGTATAATTCACTATTTTGAATTACTTAGGAAATGGGAGGAGCCTGGCATGTCGCCATTTTGGAACAGAATTAAGGAGTTAATCAAACCTGCAGTGAGTGTCACTCCTTCCCGTTACTATTTTTCTCCTCGCCAAGCGTGCCCTGTGTTTACCAAGACTGCGCTTGCTCACACAACCGCGTGAAGTTGCCACTGCCAGCGATTGGCACGCCCCAAAACGCCACCACCCAACCCAAGCACCAATGAAATTTCGCATCCATCCAAGACATGACAGATACAAGAATGGTTTCCAGATTTACACGAGGGGCTGCAGAGTTTCATGCAGATATGGAGACGCACCGCAATGTACATGTAAATTAACTGCCAAAATATTGCCCTCCACATAATCACATGCTCTCCACCTAAATTTAAACGAAGTTCTCCTGGACCAATACCCATCTTTTAAATACTCCAATTATAGACCCTCTTCATTGTGTTTGCCCTATGTATCTATATTTATTGGCCAGTTATATTCAAATACTTTTCCCAAAAATAAATGATATTAACGCTGATCAATGAACCCCAGTGTTCAGGGTTACCATGCAGCACATCAAATGCATGATTGATGACTTTTAGATAACATTCAGCTGTCCTCTGTATGGGGTTTTAATGGTCACTTTTTTTGGATGTGCAGGTTTTTTTTTTTTGTGGGGGTTTTTTTTTCAGGAAGAATAATGCGCAGAAGAGAGCGCGTCACGCCCACCTTCCCTCACGCGAGCATACTGCACATCCAAACTAAGCTTTGTATGATTATCAAAATCTGCGAATCCTCAAAGACAAAAAAAAATAATATGGTTTTATTTATCTCTCTCCAACCCTTGTTTGCTCCCTTCCCAGACTGTTTGATAAAAACGAATTTAGCAATTTGCCCATCGGATTTCTACTGCGGTTTGCAAACCCTGCACACTCATCTCTAGCCATAATACATTTGTGCAGTTGCTTTGTAAAACAAGCATGGTCTTCAGTTGGACTGGAAATTAAGTGCCACACCCCCCAACAACTGTTTCACTACAATGTGCGCATCGCAGCCTCTCACCTTCGCTACAGAAAAATACCGTTATCTTCTGCAATAACTACATTTTAGAGCTTGAGACCTATGGAGAGATCATTGACGACCTTTGATCTGTTCACAAAAAAACAAATAACTTTGTTAAAAAAATAAATAAAATGTAGCGAGTATTAGGGGCCAGTAAAACAGCAATTGTGTTTAATGAACTGCTCTATACTCTCAATGCAGAGAATTTAAAATTACTCCCAGCATAGAACACTATTTGAACGTTACCAACTCTTAGAATAAAACTGTTAATTTAGTTAACCCTTTGCCATCAAAGTATGCAAGCCATGTGGATAATAAGGCGTTAACTCAGAAGTAGCTGAGATTTTTTGCGTTTTATTGTTTCAACAATTTATTTAGCACACAGCTCGATGCGCTACACACACACAAAAAACAGAACACTAACAATCAAAAGCGTTTAAAATCACTATTTTTAAACTTACAGAAATATTTTCTACATTCATCCCATTCACATGTGACTAAATCCAGCAAATTTTACCAGGATGTACATACTCAAGGGTTAAAGGTGACTAGATTCTTGTATAAGTAACTAAATCCTTCAGGACAAAAAAGAAAATAAAACTGTTAAAAGCGGATAAAAAACAAACAAAAAAAACCCATTGGACTGTTAAATGTTTTGAGTAAAAATCTAAAATCTTCTCCCCCCCCCCCTCCTTTTTCTAATGGGATTGGATGGCGAGTCGATATGCAGTGTGTTTTTGTTGTTGCTGCAGACAGAACCTTCAAGAGATTCGACATGTCTATAATACCACCATGTGCAGGGAAAAGTCTGTATCGCTGTAGACAAAGAGCCAGCAAGGAATCCTCACTTCCTGCACTCGAACATGCTGCAGCGTTTTCAACACAACAAGCATATATTACACAGGTGCTGTTAGCCAGGAATATTTAAGAGCAGATACACACACACTTAGATAAAAGCAAAACAAAACAAAATAACACTAACAGATCAGTGTTTACAACAACATTTGGGCAAAGGGAAATCTCAGCACTTCCATTCTTTGCCTAATTTTTTTCCCTTTACAAACGTTAGCATTTAAGAAGTCAATCTTTTGTCTGTCCGTTACATCCCGCAATGTTAAAATCTGTAAAAGAAGCGTAGTGAGCACAATCAGAAGCCCAAATAATAACATTTTCTTTAAAGAGTTAGCCAGTTTTGTCTGCTTGATAAGAAAACAGAACCTCAGAGTGCATGAAAATGCAGAAAGACTACAATTGCTTTGTGCAGCCTTTCTACCTCCGTCTTGTGTTCATGATGGGCATATTCATTTTTTTTTTGGTACAAAAGCGGCGCCATACACACCCCTCTCCACAAATATCGCTTATAGCACATACTAGCGTACTTTTCGAGATTCGGAAACCTTTTTAATGAAGCAATACATCAGTCTAGCACAATATTCTGCTGTTTGCTGGTTTTTGTCATAACATGGAACTGACTTTATTTACAACAAAGCTATCTTCCACGTGCCTTGCTGAACAAAGACTCAACTTGACAGGCCATGTGGACCATATTTCAACTTGTTTTTATTTTTTTTCCTAATACCACTGCTTTGTTGAGCAGTGGTGGGTTTTTAATTTGCCACCTTCACCACCAAAACCTATTTAAGGAATATTAAGCTCTTATTTACAAGGGTATACATCAGGGAGACGGAACGGAAAGAAAGCAGGGGTGATTTTCAATAGACATTTCCCAAACCAGTCTCACATAGTTGTTCTAAGGCATCCAATTGGCGCACTCTAAAAAAATTCTCCTAAAAAACAGTTGGCAAACATTTCAATACCAAAAACATACATTTTAGATGTTTTGGTTTTGACATGTGCATTTTTATTGTTCAGTAATCACACAGGCACACACTATTTTAAGAACAATGCAAAAATGATGATGTCATGAGAAAACGCCTTCGGTCATACTCCATACAACAATATTTTGGGACACGATGGGTTATATTGAATCTCCAGATGTGGACCAGAGGTTTTGACTCTTCTCCAGCACAAAGCATCTCTAGGATATGCACAGACAGCAAAGCTTACACTTCACACTCACATTGAGTCCCACTATTATCTTGCTGTTAACCGGACAGCAAAAGCTTCTGTCCTTCTAAACTTGGTATGTCAGTCATACAGAATCAGATAAATAATTATAAAGGATTATCATAGGCCTGCAACCCCACACCTTAATTATCTGGCTTCCCATAATATCAAATCTTTTAAAGTTAGAATTGACCTCTCGATACCACGAGCTGAGAAGAAACTAAATAAGACTTCTTGTAAAATACTGACCTTCGGCTGCTGCGGGTCAACGTTTCAAATATGATTTACATGACTACGGCATAGTAGTGGCATGGCTTTTACTCCCACCAAAAACTTCCAAATTCAGAATATCATACAGAACAGAAACTCGATAACCAAAGATAATGGTAGACACAAACTCCCATCATTCTGCAGTCATCTTCAACTTTCCAAAAGATAATTTAAACTTCACTCCCTAATAGTCTCATAAAGGCCCTCCCTCACTCCCCCCCAAAAAAATCATTGCTTTTGTTCCAATAAAACCTGCATCAGCCCGACTTGTATCAATGTGTCTTTGCCAGGTTGGGTTTTTCATGTCTAGGCTGCAAGCCTTAAAAAGTAAAGCGTCCAGCTCTCTATTATAAGTATTTAGCAAGTTCATTTTACAGACAGACATACATACATATTACACCATATAGCCAAGTCAGTGACAAAAGCCAAAGTACTACAAAGACATCGTACCTACAAGCTTACTTTTTTTTTTTTATGGCTGCAATTCTTTCTACCGGTCCATTGCAACTCAAAGACAAGGTGCTGTAGGAGTTAGGTTACCACGAAGTTTGACAAAGCCGAGGTGAAGGGCACATTTATGCCCATTCAAAAGATAAACGAGTTTAAGCAATGGGCAAAGGTGGGTGTGGTACCTCGCACTTTTTAACCCTACAAATTCTCAATTCATCCTTTAAAGAAAAGAACAAAGACACACCAACAAACACTCTGAACACTGATACACCCAACCCCCCCCAGTGAAAATAACACTAGCTCCAAACTCCTAGAGTTGTCATTAGTTCTATAGGCACCCAGTCAGTTCTTTGTATACATACCAACTCTATTCCCTCAAATACCAAAGGATAATTCAGGGACTAATACAGAAGGAAAGCCAAGCTCTGTCCTATCTGCATAAAAGTATCCCTTACAAATCAGCAGTATGGGGTGACCATTGTATCTGACAAATATGAAAAGGTCATAGACCTTCTTTTGGGTTTCACTATGTACGGTATTACATTGGATATCATTTACTCATATTGAAAGTATAAAGCATGAGGTAGCAAAAAAATCAAAGAAAAGGCATGCCTTTTTGTTCCTACACAATTGTATCCTTACATAAACTTTTGTATCTCTTTGCCACATCTCGTGCATCAGACCAGTCTCCTCAGCTTGAAGACAATGGGGAGAGTGCAATAGTCTCAGCCCAGACTAAACGCCAAAAATGCCTTGTTTTACAATGAAATATTAAAATGATCTTTCAAAAACCACTAAATAATCTTTTTTATTTTCATTGTAAACCTTAAAATGGTTAAGCATGCTTACAGTTCCCCTCCCAAAATAACACAAAGGAAAAGCTGGGGACTGGCACATGTGATATTTGTCATTTTCTGCATCTGAGAAAGCAGCATCACTGTGGGGGTGTGACAGGGTCCCATCTTCCCAAACAAAAGGACCCAGGCCTTAGCAGAGGGACTGCTGAGACATACAGTTATCTTGGGGGGCTTTAAGTTTACTGCCCCCTTCCCTCACTTTCACCAAGCAGAACCTTGGTCTTTTGTTTTAAAAACAGTGTATTGTCTGCCAAAATTTAGAAAAACATAAATCACATTAAAAATATATATACGTAAAACACTTAAGAGGTTGACCCAAAAATAAAACAAAAACATAAAAAAAGATGACAATAACAATGTATAGAAACTCCCCCCCACACACACACACACAAAATAACAAGTAATATTCTAAAGAAAATTAGAATGTTAGCAAAAGAGAGCTGAAAACATAAATAATAAATATACAATGTATCCCACCCAAATGGAAAGTAAGTGTATGGGGATTTTTTTGTGGGGGGAGGAGGGGCAGACATAAGAAAAACAAACAATCCCCCAAAGGGATGTAAGCAAAAGCCTGGCAGTGCCAGGAGGATGCCCCCACCCCCAGGTGCATGGTGCAGACAAAGGGTCTGTGGCTTACCTTGTCTCCCTACTATCTCTGCCACGTGTTCTGAGCTGGGCACAGGGACACACTCAGTGGTGTTGGAACTCTTCAGCCTGAGTTCTGCTTCCTTATACAGGACACTCAACTTGCTGTCTCCTTTCTGGGGGTGCTGGGCATGGCTGTTATTGTTATTGTTAGTGTCCTCTTCTGTCTCCCCCAAACCCAGCAGGCAGAGTTGATCCAAGGCAATCTGCAGAGCCCTGTCATCCTCTAGCACCCTGTCCTTGGTCAGGTCTGACATGCCCCCATTCCTTTCCATCATCCCTGATACCACCAGGCTAGGCATGGCTAACAAAGACTCGCGAACAAAGAGGGGCAAGAGAGACAGAACGAGAGAGGGAGAGAGGGAGAGAGAGAGAGGGAAGGGGGGGGATTACTAGCCCTCCTCCTCCTCCTCCTATTGCCCACCCTCCTCCTGGCTGGCCAGCCCCTTCTCTGCTTCTGTAACACGATCTCCAGACAGATCCCAGGCCCCCTAGCCACGCCTGGCGAGCTGGGAGAGGCTGGGCCAAGCCAGCGTGCAGGGAAACTCTTTTGTTTTAAATTCCCTGGCTGTGTCTGCTGCATGACAGCCTGAGAGCCTGCGCGAGGTACGCCGGGAGTTGTAGTTCTAATCCCCCTCCTCCTTCCTTCCTTCCTTCCCCAGGCAGATGCTGAGGATGCCGGCTATGCTGAGGGAGGAGGAGGGGGGTGGCTGGAAGAAGAGAGTTAGGGTTTGAGTTGGGTGGGGAGGAGCTGAGAGTTGTTGCTGGGGGTTTGAGGGAAGTACAGATTGAGTTAGCAGAGTACAGTTTGGGGAAGACTGGGAGGAGGTGCAGCTTGATTTACATTGGGGAAGGGTATTTAGGAGGGTGCACTGGAGAATGATTGGGGGATTATTTCATTTGGTGGATGATGGGTGCAGTTTGAGTTATATTGTGGAGCGGGTATATAAATTGGTGGATGGGATACAGTTTGATTTAGATTGGAGAGGGGCATTTAAGTTCATGGCATAGGCGTTACTAGGGGGGAGGGAATGGGTGCTTATTACAGGGGCAGGAGGATATTGGTGCTTTATTTAAAAATAAAAAAATAAAACATTTTCACTTTACATCAGGCAGCTGCTTCAAGAAACAACTTTTCTTTAAAAAAAAAAACAAACAAAAAAAACAGTAATATAGTGCTTTTCCAGACTACTTACAGAGAGGTGGTGGTGCCCCCCAGTTGACTGTCAGGAAGGGCTACCTGGGATGAGAGCTTTGCTGCAGACCCCTCTATTAGGCAGTGTGGTGGGATCTAATTGAATAACAGGCTGTGTAACATGTGCTACTTTCTGGCTATGCTTCCATTGAGATCCCAGAGAGTATCACACAGTTTACAGGAAGAGATATGGGTATATAAAACAGAAAACAGTAATAAGTCATAACCTACCCAACTCGTTGTTAGCATAGGGGGTCATTGAGTTCTCCTTTAAACTCAAGACCCAGGTGTTTCGTGGCTGGAAGGAGTGCTTATTGGAGAATGATTGAGGGGAATATTTAAAGCGACACTATAGTCACCAAAGCAACTTTAGCTTAAAGGGACACTATAGTCACCCAGACCACTTCAGCTCAATGAAGTAGTCTGGGTGCCAGGTCCCCCAGGTTTTAACCTTTCAGATGTAAACACAGCAGTTTCAGAGAGAACTCTTTAGAGGAAGTGTTTAGGGAAGGGGTGTAAGTCACATGCAGAGAGGTGTGCCTAGGGCTTCATAAACACAATGAGTTAACACTTAAAAGGCAGAGAATTGAGCAGTGATGCTGCAGGAGCATGATTTATATAAGCTAAAGTTGTTTTGGTGACTAAAGTGTCCCTGTTAGTTGGTGGATAAGCAGTGCAAGTTTAATTGGAGGGAGAGTCTGATAGCTGGTGACTGAGCTTGCTGTTTGAGATAGATCGGGAAGGCGGTATACAGTATAAGGTAATGGCTTGAGGGGATGCAGTTTTAGGGCAGGAGGTGTATTTTTGCATATTTTAGTTGAAGTTTGTAAGGGTGCAGTTTGAGAAAAATTGGTGAGGGTGATTTAAGATGATTAAATATACAGTTGATTCTTGAAGAAGTGAAAATGACTGAGTCCGATACATTATAAACAAAATGGAAATTCATCATGATGTTGTCACCAGTGTGTGCCAAACTAAATTGCTGACATACTGTAGGAGTGCTGGACAATTTTGATTATTTTGTATTAAAAGGATAATCTTAGCACCAGAACATCATTGACTTAATAAAGTAATTTTGGGTTCTAGATCTTGCCCCGGCAGTCTCGCAGCTCACTTCAATTCCATTTGGCAGTGAAATCGGCACTGTTACGCACACACACCCCAGAAAAATTTGTATATCATAAAGATAGAATCTTTATAAAATACTAATTTTGACTGTGTTGGAATTTCACTGAAATTCCAATGCAATCAAGAGATGTATATTTTCTCTGCCTGATATTCTTATACCCTACGCAGAGCTACAGTGTCGGACCCCAAAAGCCATCACCAGTGACGGCTGCAGGGAATTGACTCTGTCTTTGGAGGGTCTTGCAAGATCCTCCAGAAACCTAAATTCTGTTCACTCGCACATGGGAGATGGCAGTGCCCACAAGGGACAGGTTCAGGTAAATAAATCTCACCTTTACTACCCCCAGCCAACGGACCCCCAGCTGCTATGTCATGACGTTCCCAGATAGTGACAATGCTGCTTTAAATCACTTTTGTTTGTGTTTATGCAGCCCTAGCTACACCTCCCTTGGCTGTGACCGATAGAGCCTACATGGAAAAAAATGGTTTAATTTTTAATCAGATATGACACCACAGTGTGTTAACTTTAGAAGTTTTTATCTCCTGGTCTGTTAATTGAGCCCCGCCATCTTCCTTCCGGCAAGTCCCTTTCAGCTCCTAGTGCTTCAGCACCAGCAACCAACGTAACTGCTGATTCGTGAGAGTACAGCATTTAGGTCTATGGAGGAGACCGTGGGATCCTTTATAGACAGAGCCAATTCCCTACAGCCGCCACTGGCTGGGGGGAGATTGACATTTCTAGATGATGGGAGCTCCGCCCAGTTTATTAGAAAGTCATGCATAGGAAATATACAGAGTCAAAGTAGTACCTACTTGTCTCTGTATATCTCTTAAATGGGCTAAAATTTCAGCGATATTCCAAGCAGTCAAAATTTGTATTTCATAAAGATTCTATCTTTAGGAAATACTCATTTTTAAGGGAGGGTTGACAGTGCTGCTTCAACTACTAAACGGTTGAGAATTGAGCAGTTTGTTTGCAGAGGTATGTTCTATAAACCAAAACCACTTCAGTTAAGGAACACTATAGTGTTAGGAATACAAAACTAAACAGTCCTCCTCCAGCCATCAAAAGGTTAAATAACCCTTTAAATACTTACCTGATTTTAGCGCCGATGTGCCTTGGCTGGCTCCTCTGATGTCAACAGATTGAGAAAACCTAATGTGCATACCACACACGCATTAAGCTTTTCCCATAGGAAAGCATTGACTCAGTGCTTTCCTGTGGGGATTTAGAAGACGCTGGGTGTCCTCATGCAAAGCATGAGGACGTCCAACATCATTTCATGGAGTTAAATTCCGTGTAAATGAGAGTAGAATTATTATTATATGGGGTCAAATTATGTAAAAGTAGTCTTAGTATTACATCGGGTCCAAGAGTTGAGGGGTAATATGAGTATTATATGGGGGTCTAAGAGTTGAGGAGTAGTATTGGTATTATATGGGGGTCTAATAGTTGAGGGGTGGTATTGGTATTATATGGGGGTCTAAGAGTGAAGGGTAGTATTGGTATTATATGGGGGTCTAAGAGTTGATGGGTAGTATTTGGTATTATATGGGGGTCTAACAGTTAAGGGGTAGCATTTGTCAGGATTACTGATTGATCCAGCACATAGAATTGTATCACACCTAGGACTAAAAGGTAACATCTTACTGGGCCTTAGAATTGCCGGACTTAACGTACCAAAGAATAGTCAGGATACTTGCCGAGGTCAGGGACCCAGAATGGCTCGCAACGATAAGGGAAAGCCAAAAGTCAGGGATAGCAGAATACAGGGAAGTCAAACAAAGCCAAAGTCAAATAACCAGAAATAAACGCTCAGGAACACACTCTCGGACAACCACTAAGGGAAACCACAACAGGGCAATGAGGAAAAGTAAAACTGCATTTAAATAAGCCATTTACAAATTTGATTGGCCAAAATCGGCCTTTGACCCCAGAACGTGCACGCGCGTCTCCCGCGTGACGTCACACGCATGCCGGCGTCATCAACGTGGGCGGATATGGGGCTACAATTTGGCATGGATCTGCAGCGCCCGGCGTCCATTAACATGTTGCAGGAGTCAGTTATACAGATTAATGGCCGCTGAGCACAAATACCGCAAGGTGAGGAGCAATATGTTACAGTATTGGTATTATATGGGGGTCTAAGAGTTGAGGGGTAGTATTGGTATTATTTGGGGGTCTACCAGTTGAGGGGTAGTATTGGTATTACATGGGGGTCTAAGACTTGAGGGGTGTTATTGGTATTATATGGGGGTCTAAGAGTTGAGGGGGTAATATTGGTATTATATGAGAGTCTAAGAGTTGAGGGGTACTATTGGTATTATATGGGGTCCAGGAGTTGAGGGGCAGTATTGATATTATTTAAGTTTCTAAGAGGCAAGGGGTAGTATTTGTACTATATAGAGGTCTAATAGTTGAGTAGTGTTGGTATTATATGGGAGGTCTAAGAATTGAGAGGTAGTATTGGTATAATTAAATAAATAATTAGTGGCTCAACCCTCTGCATGGAGACACTCAACTTTCCTCATAGAGATGCATTGATTCAATTCATCTCTATGAGGAGATGCTGATTGGCCAGGACTGTGTTTGACTTGTGCTGGCTCTTCCCTGATCGGCCTCCTTGACAAGCTCAGCCAATCTAATGTGAAAGCATTGTGACTGGCTCAGATCACCACTTCTTATTATGTCAGCCAAGCAGGCAGATCAGGGGCAGAGCCAGCAGCTGCAAATTGAAATAAAAGTAAGATTTTGCTACATTTATCGGGGGCGGCTAGATGGTGGTTTTAACACTATAGGGTCAGGAATACATGTTTATGTTCTTGACCCTACAGTGTTCCCTTAAGTACAAGCAGCAGTACAGAGAGCACAGATTTAAAAATATAATGCCAAAGAGTACAGGTAACATACAATAGCACATTGTAGTTTAACAATTTTCAAGGAGGAAGGTAATGTACCCTCAACCAAAACACTGTTTTTGGATTGAATAACCCTTGCTGGCATGGCACCACTCTTGCTATGCCTGC